GGCAGGAGGTTGGACTAGAAGACCTCCAAGGTCCCTTCCAACTATTCTATTCTATTCTATTCTATTCTATTCTATTCTAGACAAACTGTGACCTATTGGGTCATAGTTTCAAAGACATTTCCTGATCTAAAAAAGAAACAGAATGACCACAGGCAGGCAAACCTAGTGGGAGTGGAGGAGATTTCTGACTTCCTACCATCTTCCCCATTTACTTTCCTTGTCAGAATCTATCAGGGCACATTGGAAGTGATGATCACGGATGCCTGGCAGTGATACGGAAAAGGCCATAACTTTTTTCAAATTTCAGTCCTGCAGTAGTCATGGTTTCCAGATTTTGGGCTCATATTTTATAAGATAATCCATTTGAGTTTCATTTTCAAAAATTGTTTCCCTACGATGCACTGTTTTATCCAATTGAAGATTAGAAAAGTAGATTTTCGGCAGTAGATTCAATGCTTGCTAAAGTAGGTTTTAACTGCAGCCATATATCAATAAAGAGAATCATACTGTGGTGCTGTTCAGTTTAACAAATTTTTAAAAATTCTAATTCTTGGAAAGATATTAGTGCATTTAACATTTTGCTCTTGTTCTTTCTGTCCATAGGTTTATGCCCCTTCTGCAAGCACTGCCGATTACAATCGGGATTCGCCCGGCTATCCATCCTCAAAACCACCAGCCAGCACTTTTCCTAGTTCTTTCTTCATGCAAGGTAGGATGTTATCATAGAATGGGTTTTCTGATGCATGTCCTTGAGGGTCAGTGGACAAGACGCTGAATTCCTGAGCTCAGTTCTTTGTTTACGGAGTTTCCTGCCAGATGGACAATTCCAGGCAATCTTGATTTCTCTTTCAAAGCTAAGGGGTTAACGCAGTAGCATGCCAGACAGATAAAGGACGATCAAGGCCACAAGACATATTGCGGATTTGAAAGGGATCTTTTAATAAACATTTTGTACAGTCGGTTTTGCTGCCAAATTCGAACTCACAATATGCAACATTGGTTACTTTGTTGCTCTTCCAAATGTTTATGGAAGTGAACATATTTATTTGGTAGTGAAATAATAGTATTAGTGTCACTTTGAATTCAGACGCACAGACTCCTACATAGCGAATGTGCTCGTGATTTGATGCAAACGTAAATTGCTGGGCTCCCAGGACAAAATGGAGCTGCCCCTTATCCAGATCTTAACGTTCATTGGGAAGGATGGTAAACATGGAGAAAAATGTATCCATATGCCACTTCCTTCCACTTGAAATTAAGGAGTTACTATATTTTTCAGAGTATAAGACACACTGGAGTATAAGACGCACCAAGATTTTGAAGAGGCAAATTTAAAAAAAAAGTTTTTGCACTCTGCAGACCTCCCAAAAATGACCCATTTTCACACAAAAAAGGGCATGCGTAGCCTTTAGGAGGCTTATAGAATGCTCCTGAGGGCTGGGGGGGGGGGAATTTCTGCCCTCCCCAGCCTGCCCTCCCCAGCCCCCAGGAGCACTCTGAAAGCCTCCTAAAGGCTATGCACGGCCATTTTGTTGAAGGGGTGGGGTTTCAGGAGGCAGAAAATGCTGTATTCAGTGTATAAGACGCACCCAGATTTTCAGCCTCTTTTTTGAGGGAAAAAGTTGCGTCTTATACTCNGTTAGATACCATGTTTCCCTGAGAATAAAACCTACCCCGAAAGTAAGTCCTAGCTTGATTTTTACACATGCACCCAATATAAGCCCTCCACACACAAAAAATAAGCTCTAATTAAGACCCTGCCCACTCCCGGGTGCATGAGTAAAAAACTAGGGTGGGGGGGGTGGAGCTGCCCTATTACTTATCTTTGGACAGTTGCAGCCAGGCCTCGCACACCCTGACACCCTGTCTTGCCAACCCATTTCTTCTGCAGCTGGCAAGGCTTTCCTAAAGGCCTCTGCAGCCGATAACAGAGCTATGGATCAATAAAGGCTTTGGCCTTGCCAGCTGCAGAAGTTCCTGAAGGCCTCTGACAACGAAAAGGAGGCCTGGAGCAATGCACGCGAGTGAAGTGAGTCAGTGGATGATATTCCCCCCCCCCTCTGAAAATCAGACCTGGTTCCATTTTTGGGTGGCAAAAAAAAAATGTAAGACAAAATCTTATTTTCGTGGAAACATGATAGGAGGTTAGGTAGATAGATGACTGACAGACAGACAGACAGAGAGGACCAGCTCTTTCTGCCTTCTTGCAACAATGAAAACAAACAGGATTGAGCCAGTGTGGTGCAATTAACTAGCAAGATTCAGTTCCATTGTCAACCACAGATGCTCACTAGGTGACTTGGCCCAAGTGATGTCTAAAGTTCCTTGTGGTTGGAAAAAACTGGAGGAGGCTATAAAACAGATGGTTCATAAAATTTAATGTTTCTCTGGTAGTGTGCTAATGGTATACCTTTTCATCTCAAATCTGGTGTATTTTCCATTGTTCCTAAGGGGTCCCAAATATGTCGTGTTTCCCCATCATGAAGATCATGATTCCATCTATTTATTTATTTATTTTCCAAAACCAATTTTTCTTAAGAAAATTAGTGAATAAGAAGCTGGCATGCCATGCCACAGTAAAATTGTGAGCCTTTAGTATCTTATTTAGTAGACTTTTACCACAAAACTGCAATTTAGATGGCAAAAGATATCCTGAGTGATAAGTTTTCCTTCTGTTTTGTGAATATATATTTGGATTTATATTGGGTGGGAATACTAGGGTGGGCCTTTTAAGTGTATACTCCCAGGATTTGAATTCATTGAAAAGTGGAGACAGGTGTATGATCCTTCAATAGGAGAGGTTTTCATGGTGAAAATTTTAGTCGTGTTATCATGTACTAAACATGATATTCAGTTTTGGTCACCATGATGTAAAAAAGATGTGGAGACTCTAGAAAAAGTGCAGAGAAGAGCAACAAAGATGATGNGCACCCAGATTTTCAGCCTCTTTTTTGAGGGAAAAAGTTGCGTCTTATACTCCAAAAAATGCGGTTGCCTGCAGTGGTAAGACCTGAAATGCAGCATTTAAAACTCTGAACAGCAGTGGAGCACAATAGAGCTCAAGAAATAACGATAGGTTTCATTTTCTCTAGTGGAAATACTTTGATTACAGATATTTTCAGCAAGATGTGCCAAACAAACTGATGCATGCTGTGAGTCTAATCATATTCAGTGGGCCTCACTGTCCTTCAGCATGATTTGAATCACAACCTTGAAGCCCCAGTGTTGGCTGCACTCAAAAATATTTTGTATTTTGCATCATGTATTGACAGCAGAGAGAATTGTATTTGCACAATATTGGAAACATGAGAACACCCCACCAGATGAAAATATAATTCGGAAAACATTGAACTGTGCAGAGATGGATAGGCTTACATTAAAAATAAAAGATAAAGGAGATATAGAATATTAACGTGAGATTAGATACAAGAGGTAGAAGTTAGAAGAAGAAAGATCATTGCTATGTGTATGTAAAAGATAAATGTTATGTATAAGTATGCCAGTATATTTAATAGAAGCACAAATAAGTTAATGCAACTATAATTATTGTTATAATTACTACATTTAATATTATTATTGTTACTATATTTGTTGTTTTTTCACTAAAATGAAATACCTGGACAATATACTGTTTTCAAAATATTTCAAAATATTTATATATAAATAAAAAATATATAACCAAAAAAATTGTATAAAAGCAGCTAATGGGATGAATGTTTTCAGTTCTTTGCGTTCACTTCAAAGAATTACCTTATAATACTACCAATAGCATTGTAGGTCAAATAGTTTGTAACAATATTCAATTGATAGAGCAATTAAATTGATTAGAAAAATCTAAGGTGTAATCAGTCACACATGGAGAAGAGTTATTCACTCACCTTAAATATAATTTCAGAAATGAGATTTTACATGTAAACTAATCATTGGTGGAGGAAAAAAAGATATTAAAAAAACTTTATATTCCACAGCTGTATTTATTAATAATATTATTGCTTGAGCTCCATGAAAATCCCACAAAACCAACTTTTCTAATATATCCATTGGCCATGCAGGGAGTTACAAACCAATGCAACTAGAAAGAAACAGGTGGGAAAATTTGCAAGAATTTTAATTGGTCTCATCTAGTCTCGTTGCTCCTTGTGGAATGGCTTCTTGTCTCTTAAACTAGGTGCAGATTTTATTTTTGTCCTTTAAATTGTAGGTCCTTATAGGGGAGGGGGCGGCATAAAAATGAAATAAGAAAATAAATTAAATAAATAAAAATAACTGCATTTTTGGGTACAAACGTCTTTAAATGTTGTGTTTCTTTTGTTGCTTCCTTTTGTTAAAGTATAGACATTTTATTTATAACTATTGCTCCCCTCATTTATTCATTGTTTGGAGTTTTAGAGACTAACTCTGAGTAGCTTACAATTCCTACATACTTATAGTATTTAGAATTAAAGCCCCGAAATGTAATTTAAACAAGAATAGTTCATAATCCACAACATCACCATTATCATGTCATCCTCATTTTACCTCCTGGGTCTACTTTCCTGGGAGTAAAATGAGGCCTTTCATAAGAAATGGGAGATTAGACATAAACAATCAAAAGACAGCAGCTTATCATATAAACAAGGATTCAGCCCTGGTGGCCAGATATTTAGGAAGAAGCACTTCGGATACTTCAAAAAGACTCTACCTAATGAAAGCACTATGAAGGAGGGCAGAAAATTTCTTTTGCAGTTTTTGACATTCTGTTTATAACCCCCAAACTATCAATAAACAGAACTTGCTGAAATCTCTGTTTCCTTGATTTTGCCCAGCTGGTGTGGAACTGTGTCATGTTTCCCTCACTCCCAATCCTCACAGATAGTCCAGAAAGAAGTAGAAATCAATAGTATGGAAAGTACATGAGCGATCCAGTAGGATTATGATAAGACATCATTATAAGACCCTGATGGTGAACCTATGGCACGCATGCCACAGGTGGTAGGCAGAGCCCTCTCTGTGGGCACACAACCTTTGCCCCAGTTCAGCTCTACCATGCATGCATGCATGCCTCCTGCTGGCCAGCTGATTTTCAGGTCTCTGCTGTGCATGTGCTGCTGTGCATCCTGCCCCCACAGCCCATTTTTGGCCCTAGGAGGCTGCAGGGAAGCCTACTAGGCCCAAAACAGGACACAGGGTCAGTTGCGTGCGCATGTGCAGAGGGCTGGGCAAGGGGGAACGCAGGGGGGTCACGCACACATGAGCAGAGGGATGGGGCATGGGGGACTTCTGGCATGTGACGACAAAAAGGTTAGCCATCACTGTTATAAGACATCAACAACCGCAGTTGCATTCCCATATCAGAATCCTAAAGTGTACTATTGATTCTTATTCCCCAAGTTCCCTAACCAATTTTGTTGTATTTAAGTACAATGACAATAAAGATTATAATTATAAGTTTGGTTTCCCAGTCTCAAGTATTTCAACTGTTGGCCAAATTTGCCCTCATGGTCCACAACCTATAGCTTGATAATAATCAAACATGGACACTTTCCTGCTCTTATTGCCATCATGTAGGTTTGTAGTTCAGTTTATCAGTATTTTCAGTCGTATTTTTTCTTGTTGTATGTTATTGCCACTCTAGGCATCCCATGTCCTGCTTCAGTTCCCAAAGCTTCTCAGTGGAGGATGGGGCCCCTAGATGGAAAATAGGAGAGGCTCCTTCTGAGCAATTGGGCTAAGAGGCCCAGCCACCTCTATATTTCAAGGTTCAATTAGGCCAACCAAGACCATAGGAAAGTCCTCAAGCATCCCCTAGAAATTACATGTATCCATTAAATAGCCAAGGCGGACCAATCAAATGGCTATATTCTCCCTGCAGAGGTCAGTGGTGCAAGGAATGTCCATCTTGGAAGTTTCTCAAAAGGCGGAACAATGATTAAAATATATATTATCCCATTATTTAGAAAAGGCTTTGATGATAAGGAAATTCATAATTAATGTGTCTGTCAGTAACTGTTAGCCATGTTAGCTAAATGAATTCAGTTATAACCTATATAGTGATTAGAGTATTTGAATCTAATGGACAAGCCTCTATATAGATCAGGGGTGTCAAACTCGTGTCCCATGGGCCGGATGTGTCACGCGCTGGCCATACCCACGCCCCATTTAGCAAAGGGGGAAAAGTCGTGATACGTCATGTGACAATGGCGTGATGAGTTTGACACCCCTGATGTACACCCCTCATTTAATTAGCCAACTCAGTGTGTGGCTTTCGGTAAGTTACTATTTCTTAGTCTAACCAAAGATATATTCTGTTGTTCTGATGATAAAAATAAAAGGAAGGGGGAATTAGAGTATATTACTGAATACCAGGTAATTAGAACAAATAGCAATGGGAAGCTATCACTTTCACATCATCTTTGTAAGCTATCCAAGGTGTATCTCACTGGTCACTCTTGGGATGAGTAATCTTTCCAAAATTTTATTCAGAACCAGCAAAGCATCTTGCACACTTTTTTTCCCCAATGGGATATCAGTTTCTTTCGTGCTGATCAAGTTTACACACCATGGACCTGAAAGTGAATTCCAGCTTTAAAAATGAGGAATGTGCTAAAAGTATCACATTCATACACATTTTGGAAGTGATGCCTCTCAGTGGGGAAACATATACCAATTACATTATACGGAATGACAAAAGTACAGATAGTCCTCAACTTACAGCAGTTCATTCAGTGACCATTCAAAGTTACAACGGCACTGAAAAAAGTGGTTTATGACTGTTTTTCACACTTACGACTTTTGCGGCGTCCCCCTGGTCATGTGATCAAAATTCAGGTACTTGGTAACTGGTTCATATTTATGGCAGTTGCAGTGTCCTGGGGTCACGTGACACACCTCCAAGTCAGTGGGGAAGCCAAATTCACTTAATAGCCATGTTACTAACTTAAGAACTGCAATGAGTAACTTAACAACTGTGGCAAGAAAAGTCGTAAAATGGAGAAAAATGTTTCACTTAGCAACATAATTTTTTCACTTAGCAACATAAATTTTGGGCTCAGTTGTGGTCATAAGTTGAGGACTGCCTGTACTTTAAAGATTTCACATTATTTTTCTGTGCTAGAGGAGTCGGTTACATCCCAGCTACATTTATTGTTGGTCAGCTCCTTATTTAAATTTTAGATGGTTACTCCCTTGTGAGCAATCCCGTCAAAATCTTTTGAGAAAATAGTTTCATGTTGTCCATTATGACTCAGTGTATTATCATAGATTTATTAAAGATAGAGAGTAGACATGGATTTGATGCTTCCAACTTATGCTAAAGATTACTTTTTGTATAGCCTAGCTCCCTCAAAGATTGTTAACAGTTTGCTGTCCTCTTGAAATTAGAGATCAAAGAGAAGAAGCTTCAGATGTCTCCATTGTTGATTTGAGTTTTGGGTTATGTTCAAATAAATTTGCAGCAAGGCAGAAACTATTAGATTCCAATGACCAGGCCGAGCTTCACATTTGACCCACAAATATGATATGCAACCATGCTTCCAACTTTTAAACTCTGTTTATGCTTTCTTGATTTAATTTCCTTCAAGGATATTGGAAGGCAGATTCAAGAACATCCCCAGTGTCTTAAATTTTATCCTTGTGGCTTATACTATTGAAAGTTTGACTTTATTGTACTTTCCATGTGGACAAAAATTACTGCATAATATTCTTGGATCGCCAGATAAATAGTACATTACATACCTTCTGGATAATCAAAACTCAAATAATACACTCCAGATTGTTTTGTTAATCTATGAGACTAGGCATCAATTTATTGTCAAGAAGAAAATAGTTGTGTTTATGCCTTATCTTAAAATAGCTCATAATGTATTTTACCCTAAAAAATTATTGCAAATTAATGAGTTCAGTTTAGTTGATCCTTGTATTTTGATCTATAGCCATAATACCATAATGAAGTTTTAGTTATCTCTCAACTCCTCCCCTAAACCAATTATCTGAGTTCAAAAAATAAGGGTTCATCAACTGAAAAGTGGAAAAAACAGAATTCTGGAGACAAATTTCTTTTAAGTTTAAATATGTATCTTTTCCAAATAGCTTTTGTTGGTAAATGTCTGTCTACAGGAAAACCCAATGATGCTTTTTAAAGAGGCAACTGGACTTTGTTTTTTCTTTGAAGACGCTTCAGAGCTGAAGAAGCTTCTTGGATAAGATACGAAATGTCTTCAAAGAAAAAAAAAAAACAGAAAGTCCAGTTGCCTCTTGAAAAAAGCATCTTTGGGACAACCACGACCTAAACGACTAAGAATCTCTATGGGAAAAGTTTCTGAGCATCTCCCTAAATCATAGATATCTCTGTTCTGATTCATAAATATTTTATATATGACATTGGGATATGAAGTTGGCCAAAAAGTCAAGTCCTGGAATCAAAATATTTGTGTATTTATGTGCTAAATTAAAACCCCAGAATCTACTTAGACTCTTATTTTAAATGCGCTTTAAAAAAAAAACATGTTAGGTTCCAGTTTTATCGAGCATGGATTAATAACAATATAGGTCACAACTATGTGGGTTTCTGATAAAAATAGCACAAATATTTTAAAAATTGCACAGAATATCTCTGACTAATTAGTGGTGATTTCAGAAATGTCATTTACACTCCTGTTTAGAAAACTTTAAAAAATAATGCTCATGTAGTTACATAAGATTAGTGTGGCTCCTATATGACAAAGGATGATAACACAGTTTCCCCACTTGTGATTGCTATCTTTTATTGCAAACTGCTATCCAGCACTGTGACACATAAGACATTAATCAAACCTTATTAGAATGCTAATTTTAACATTTACTAAAAACACAACCTCGGATTGTTAGTCAGAGAATCGAGTATTCATAGAAGCTATATTTAGAATAGAATAGAATAAAATAGAAAGAGGAAGAGAAGAGTTAGAAGGGACCTTGGAGGTCTTCTAGTCCAACCCCCTGACTAGGCAGGAAACCCTACACCACTTCAGACAAATGATTATCCAACATCTTCTTTAAAACTTACAGTGTTGGAGCATTCACAACCTCTGGAGGCAAGTTGTTCCACTGATTAATTGTTCTAATTGTCAGGAAAGTTCTCCTTAGTTCTAAGTTGCTTCTCTTCCTCTTTCTATTTTATTCTATTCTATTCTAAATATAGCTTCTAGGAATACTCGATTCTCTGACTAACAACC